GCAAGGAGGTTGATAATGAGCGAGTGGGTGTTCTTTGCTAGGTTCCATGTGTTGTGGAGAATGCGTGCATGTTCTGCGTTGTCATGTTGTGGGTGGTGTGTAATGCGTGTGGCTTGGGCGAAAAAGCCGGGATTGTTGGCAAAGTGGAGTATGCTGGGGAGGAATCGGCCTTGTTGTAGAATGTTGCTGATGTTACCACGTGGGCCGGTGTGACCTGCGTTGATGTGCACCATCTCTGGTGTGGTGGAGGTGGCACGTGTAGCTGGTGGCGGGAAGCTGCGGGTTGCCTTCTGGACAAGGCTGGGAATGGTGATGCAGAGGTATTGGTAGATGTCGTGAGTGTTGGTGGTGTCGTTCCATTTGATGTGGGTGAATTGGCGGAAGTCTGATAAGTCTTTGTAAGTGAAGCCGCTGTCGAGCAGTAGTTTGGCGATGGAGCCGGGGTTGAAAGTGGTAGTGGAACTGGAGACGTGTGCTCAGTGGCGGGGTGATCTGCTTGTGTGGGGAGGGCTGAGGTGGGACGTTCTGCTTGGGCTGAAGGTGCTGTGGATGCTGGTGATTGGGGGCCAGGAGTGCCCGCAGCGGTGGTGGAGGCAAGAGGCGCCGTAGGAGCTGTGTCTTGTGGAGATAGAGCGGCGATCGCTGAGGGTTGTGTCGGCTGAGTTTGTGGTGGTTGGTGGGCAACAGGTGGGAAGACAGAGAAAGGTTGCCACACGCTTTGAGCGTAGTCCCAATGGATTGGTGTCGGTTGGGGCTGTGGTAATGGAGCCGGTTGTGCATGAGGCACTGGTGCTGGTGGTTGCAATGGTGGCGGAGTGGGAATCATGGTCTGAGGGTGTGCTGGTAAATGTTCCGTTGGAGGCGAAGTGTAGGATAAAGGAAAAGGATGATGTTGTGGGACGAATTGCATCTGTGGGTGAATGTGTGGTTGTGGTGGATGTTGCCAAGTGTGTTGTGGCATGTGAGGTAATGTCGCTGGTGTGTGTGAGATCATGGGAAACATATGCTGCTGCGCCGGTTGGACGGGTACTGTGGGTGCTGTTGAAGGAGGTAGTTGTGAAGGCCAATGTGGAAAAGGCCATGGGTATTGCATGGTGTGGCTGTTGTCCGTAGCTGAGGTCTCACTCTGAAACACGTTGTCAGCTGCTGAGATGGCGCCGGCGCGGCACGGCAACTGATGCGTAAGCTCTTGATACTTGTACCCGTGGAATGAAATTGCGATGAAATCGTGAAAAAGTGGTAATATCCAATGAAAATGAAGAAGATGAAGAATGGAAATTGAAATGAAATGGAAATGAAAGCGCAGAATGGAATGAGGGGTGCGATGAAAATGAGAATGCGATATGAAGTGGCGCGTGACTCGACTGTACATCTTGAAAGCTTGAAAATGCAGCTGCGGATTGAAAAATTGGAAAACTGCAATGAAATGTCGTAGTGGTACAAGTGAAGTAAATGGATGATATTCCGTCGTTTATAGCCCGGCGGCTCGAGAAGCAGTAAATTCAGTTATACAAGTGGAGAAAGTGAATTCAGTTATAAAAATGGAGACAATGATTTCCGGAATGAAAACGGCGCCTCCTTGCGGAGGATCACACCCAGCACCCAAGTGGGACGGCTGAGCGGCTCACACTCTGACATTGGTTTGCTGTTAACTCAATTCCCACGATGAGAAGGAAGGTGAGGGAACAGTAAGGTGAAAGAGTCGGCGACAACAGTATTGTTTACACGTGTTTTCAGTGGCACTCAGAGCGGCGGCTAAGCTGCTGCAGATCTGCGGAGGGAAGCCTGTTTTGGGGTGGTAGCATGAAGGACCATGAAAGCAAAACCGATCAGATTGGACAGCTTGTGCAAAAGTTGGTCGCAGGTACACACAGTTGATCAGACTGCGCATCCACCGACAAGCATAGCTTTGTTAGCCAGCGTTTGCTTGTCGGCCGCTGGCCCCCTGCGTGCGAAAAGGAAGTGGAGAGTCCTGATGGCACCCTTTGGAACAGGGGTTGACACACACACGGGGACGCGACCTTTTCACACTATCCACTCAACCTCAGACAGGTTGCTTCAGGAACTCGAGTCTAAGGAGTGTCGGCGTTTTGCCGACTACGAACGTGAAACCGTGGGAGCTTCAGTAGTTAACAAAGTTGCTACAGCTGCTTCTTTCTTGTGTGGCTTGTTCCCCGGGACCTTCCTTGAACGCATACCTGCACTTCCGACCATGCCATACGAACAGCATCCCCACCGTGAAAAAGAACCTTCGCCTTACCTTTCCCCTTGCACTCTTCTAGCGATGATTCGCAAGCTTTTGAGCCGTGAAGATATGAGAAAAGACCGCAAAGCGCTCGAAGCCGTTGGGGATGAGGGACAGGGTGTTCGGTCGCGCGGAGTGTGGGATGATGCTTCGGTTATGGACAAAGTAGAGCGTCTGGCCACTGCGCAAAGAGAGGGAAAGACTATCCATATTGCGGACGTCATGCCCATCGCTAGTATAAAGCACTGGGAACCCCCTGCCAAACCGAAACACAAAGGTCGTTTGGTGTTGCGGGGGACGCGGTGAAGGACAGTTGGGGTGGCGCTGCGCAGTTTGGTGAGTTGTTTTCCACGCCGACGAACATTCAGGCCATCAACCTAGCAATTTTCTATGGGCTCCTAGCCGGCAATTGCCTCAGGGCAGCAGATTGTACGAAGGCTTACTTGCAGGCAGAACTTTTGACAGAAGAAGAAACTTATGTAACTTTGCCGCAAGAACTGTGACTTCCACAGTGGCCCTCTTCACTCAAGGTGCCTTCATTCACATATGGTGCAACTACACTTTTGAATAGGTTGATGGCCTCTTGCGCGTAATCGGTCGTGACAAATACGCACTTACCTTGAAAGGGAAGAGGTGAGATCTGCCAATGAACTTGTCAAGCTCTTCTACTTCGTCAAGCTCGATTCTCTCCCTCAGCCTTGCCCAAAAATTGTTTTGATGCTGTTGTGGACCAGACACTAGGATGTCGTCAACATAGACCACAACTAGCAAACTTGTCTTTTTTCGAAAAAGACCGATGGGTGTCCTTCAACCTGAATCAAGCGCGCGCCTGCCATCAAAACCTGCCGAAGATGAAGGCCCCAATAGGCGGAGGCCAAGGGATGACCGTAAAGCGCCCCTTTCAAAACGAAGGACAGGTCTCCCCAAAGGCTTCCAGTGTATTTATGAAACTGCTGCAGCTTTGCCCCTCTCGCGCGGCCTGATTTGGCCTATGGGATTTCCATGTTGGCCGTTCAAGTGTCTAAGTGGAGCCGAAACGCTGACCGTCAGCTTTTTCGCTTGGTGTCTTACCTGGACAGCGCTAAGGAACTTTGCTTGACTTCACAAGTGTGCGATCCACCAGAACTGCGCATTAAACCTCTACGTTGACGCAGATCTAGGGGGATGCGTTTTCGCGGCCAAATCCACCACAGGAGTGTTTCTTGTGACTCAAGGACCCAAGGGTACCTTTGCTCCTGTTACTTGGTTCTCGCGAAGACAGCAACATGTGGCACGCTCAACTGCTGACGCTGAACTCAATGCTTTGTCAGAAGGCCTGTATGAGGAAGCCTTACCTGTACTAATTAATGCTTTTAGAGCTGTGGCGCAAGCAATAAGAGAGAAGACAATAGCGCGGTGGCGCAAGCAATTCGTAAGTGGTATAGTCACAAGTTGCGCCACTGGGCTCGCACGCCTAAGCTGTCCCTTGCAGCGCTCAACCACGCTTGCAACACAGTGTTGACTAAAGCGCTAGCTCCAGCTAAATTCAGCCGACAGTCGTTGGGCCCTAGCATCTGGGCTGCTGCAGCGTTACAGGCTGAAAGGTCCTAAACTCAAGGTTTCAGGCCCAAAAAGGTGTGTCACCAGCGCTTGCGCGGGTCACACCTAGGAAGTTTTCGTTGCGGCTGGCTTCTTGCACTTCACTGTGTTCTGATGACGCTTTGGGCAGCTGGATGCAGCTTGACTAGATTTGCGCTGGCTGCTGTCTCCTCTGAGTTTCACTTTCACTTAGACTGCATTCTTCAGTGGCAACGCTTCTTGGAAGGATATTTTCTCGAAAGGCTGCTTACGCAACCCTGGCCGGGGGGGGTTGCATGAGCGGCTGGTGAAGATGCGCCTCTCTCAATGCTCCTTCCACGGGGGGGACGTTCGTTGCCAGACCACTCGGCAAAGCACCCTATGCCAAAGCCAATGACCGACGCATTGGCTCAAGTGTCAGAAAAGGGGCGGCCTTTCAGATGCCGCTAAAATGCCAATACTCTCAGCAAGCCGGCCATTGGCTTAGTAGTACATTAAGAATTACTATTTCTAATTGTATTACGGAAAAACTTTGCACGGCTGAGGACCCTTAAAGCTAATTTATTATTGAGGATCAGGGGCCTTCCTGGTCTACTACCTTGGACAATTGTTTAGGAGCAATCTTTACATAAAGGATTGATTAAGGAGTTGATGGCCTTGGGAAACATCAGTAGGCCAGTCATAAAGTTAGTTTTCGCAGGTCTCCGAAGCTTCGGAGTTGAAACCCTAATGAGGATCCCAAACAAATTTAGCATAATAGAGGACTCTTAAAACAAACATGATGGGCCATTTTGGCATTATAGAAGATCCTTTTACTAATCAGGATCCAACATTAAGGTGGATTCTTGGAACTCATGGTTGGTTCGAAGCCTTTTGCTCATAGTTCTGGGGTTCCTTCGTGTGGAAACAATTCCACTTGTTTGGAAGAGTTCGCACTCCAACAAGCACGCCACTACAAGCACGCCAGTTGATGGTTTTTATTTGCACTTATTCGTTTTCCATTCCAGTGTCCCTTCAATAATAGACTACCTTCGGCACATGCTAGTGGTAGGTGTGACTTCATATTGATTTGGCTCAACTCATTCCTTCATTGCCTACTAGAAAAACAATTGCAAGTGTCACAAAGAATGAATGGTTGACTAAGAGAATCAAAGACATTGCTGCATACCTGCTAGCATGATCTGTGACTTGAGAACAGGTTCAACAAGAAATGAACGCTTGGAGGCGCTGATGCCTTGCGTTGTCCGGTTTGATTAAAATGCCTTATGTAGATGGACTAAGTGACTAAGTACATATATATGTTCGTGTCTCTTTGCCGGAATGGGTTGGAATGCAGCCAGCTTTTCACATTTGCAGGGGCGGCGAGTCCTGGAACAGCAAGCAGAAGAGCAGAATGTGAGGAAGTATCATGAGCAGGCTGTGGGCTTTCAATATGGAAAAAAAATTTCGATGAGAGAGTCGGAGGTACACAAAGTCAAGACATGAATGGAGATTCCAGGTTGTTGCCTTCGGGTTCCCTGCTTTGTGCTTGTGTTGGTGATAGGTGTTCGGTTCGTTTGCCGCACTTTCATCGGGGGATCGCCTGTCCCGACTGGGTGGCTGGTCTGCAAAGAGCGATGGCCTCCAACCTAAAAGCGATGGTCTTGACTATCTCTCTGGAAGTCTTAAGACTTTTCTTCCCAAAGGTAAGGATTTCATTCGTCACACGCTGCACCCCACAAACCAATTCGTCTTATTCTACTTTTGTTTTGCTACAACTTCCGCCCGCTGGCCCTGCCGGTGTGTGGCTTATCGAGGTTCTTGTGTGGACCTCATCGAGTTGATTTGGTTGAAGTAGGTAGTGTTCATCCCATCCAAGAGATCTGAAAGCGGAGGGGTGCACTACTAGGAACAAGTGCATCGCTACTAGGAGCAAGGACGCTACAAGTAGCTCCTGGCATTACAAATAGGAACAAGAAGCTACTAGGAACAGGTGCATCGGTACTAGGAACTAGGGGTGCACACCTCATTCTTCAGGCGCAGGACTTCCGCTTCCAGATGCTGCAAGAGGCTGCGCGCAGGCCACTGAAGTGGTGGGAAACTGCCGCCACCCACGAGCTGAATGCTGAAAAAGCCGAAACCGGTAGTTTCTTCAAACCTGGAAATCACTAACAGTCTTGCTTTTGTTTAGCTTTATGAACAACTTGCAGCCACAGACTGAGGCTGTAAACAAATAAAATTCTCTCATATTTATATTATACCTCCTGGATACGTAGGGCCCTGATTTGCCTAAAATCATACTAAAATTTGAATGTTTTGTTCCTTCGAATTTTTTCGAAAAAGATTGTGGCAGGTTCTGAAATGTTCCGTAGGAAGTACCGCCGCAGGTTTTCGATGAGGTTCTAGAGTAGGTTCCAAGGGCGGTTCTGGAGGCTCAAATGACCTGTTTGTGAACCCATCACGCCATAGAAAGTGCAATGCAAGCTTGCAATTTCCAGCAAAAGCTGTCAATGTGCTGTCAATGACTGTACGAACTTCGAAGGCAGCTGATCTTGCAAGAGCGGGACAAGTCAAGGAGTCGCCGCGCAATGGCAGAGGCTGTCGCCAAGGAGCATGGAGTGGATGCTTTTCTGATTGCAAGCGCACTCCGAAGAATAGCAATTACAAGACCATGAGACACCACAAGGCTTACGCCTTGAAGCCTGGGCTCACAAGTTGTTTGGTGATTTTAGTGTTAATGGTAGGGTGGAGGATTGCTCTTTGTACTTGCTGATGGGCGCATTCGTGCTGCAGGAGAATTTGCAGCTCAAGGCGGAGAAGATTGAGCAAACAAAGGCAAGGCTTTTGTAGTCCCATTGAAGTTTTTACCACAGTGTAGCCTTTGCACCCGGACATGTTCACAGTACTTGCAGAAGCTCCACGAGCTCTACACCAACAAGTTTTCAGATGACTTCTGGGCGCAGTTTGGGACAACTACCCGCTAGGATGCCACGACCCCAGGGTTCGGGAACTTGCCAATTGGCAAACTAATCAGCTTTTGCCCATGCCAAGGTGTTCCAGTTGCAAAATGGCAAGGGCAAGTTCAGTGGTGGCTTCATGTAAAAGACATCAGCACAAACCCTTTTGTGATCAGCGAATCGCTTGCTTGGAGCCTTCAGCCCTGTGATGATTTGCATTGCAGATTGTCACTGTCTCACCACAGCACTTTCACAGACTTTCACCATGGCCACTCACAAAATTACCCAGCATATCATAGCTTCGATTGTGGTCATATGTGGATCCCATTAGAATAATACAAGTCTGCAAACATTGGAAGCACACACTGTTGATATCGAGTATTTTGCACGATCGCGGTCGCCCGAAAGGGCAGAGTCTCCGTGCAGCCCGGAAAAGGAAGGAGCGGGCAATCAAGACTTGAAGGGTGGTGGAGACCATGTGTTGAAGGCGTTGAGAGCACGCTTTCTTGCTTCCTGCATGATAGCTTTTGTTCATGCCGCCGTTTTGTGTAGACCAAATCTCATGACATCATTGACAAATGCCAATCCAAAGTGTTTGGCTACTTGCAGAGTACTCGGCTTTCCAATGAACAACAAGTCCTGAAAACGATTGTGTTCAACACAAGCCGTCATCATCCTCTACTGACAGAAATTGGAAGAGAAGCACGTCAAACTCACAGACACATGGAATGAAGTAACCGAAGTGATGGAGAGCTCACATGGTGTGAGAAAGAACGAGTTTGACGTGTGGTGCGGTGGTTTCGCCTTGCTCCGAGTACCGGCTCAACTTCACATGTCTCACTTAGTTATACATTCAGCTTGCAGTACCTAAGAGAAAAGCGTGTGTAGTCTATTCTTTCACAACCTTTGAAATGCCGATGAGGTTGGTGGCCACCATGCCGCAGACGCCGCACAGGACCATCTAGCAGAGACTTAATTCCGAGCTGTAACGAGACTATGGTTGGATTTGCAGAAGTAGTGACAGGACGATCTCCACACAGCGGGCCCTTGACAGGCCTTCAGGGATGTTGTTTTTGATAGCAGCTTGCCACGTGCTTGCACATCAGCTGCAATGTGTTCTGAGTACAGGCCAGACATTGGTGCTACCACCCTCCAGCGTGAACATGCTTTGTACGGACCCAAGGATTCAGCCGAATATGCTGTTTGTTCTTCAGCTTACACGCTGAGATGGGGAACAAAGTCGGAAAGAAGAATGGCACTCTTTGTTGCCAAGAACAAGTGGGATAAGACTTGCTCAAGGAATTACTCCTAGATGTTGGCTTGTCCAGTATCAACTCTCCAAGGCCTTTGATGGGTGAAAATGCAGAGAGTGTGTGGCAGCCTTGAGTGTGGAATGGTGCATTATTTGGTTGGAGTGAACAGCTGTCTCCTCATCATTCCAAACGACAAGGAAAAGAGCTGTGGTTCCTGATGCGATTGGCGTGCGGGGGGCTTGAATTTGCGGGAAATCTTTAGGTTTGGATTTGCTGTGCTTTGGGTTGTGGGTTGGAAACACAGACAGACCGGAAACGGCCTCAAATGTACGATGCTATATGCGCCATGACTACGCCCTTTTGATGCATGGTTGGCATGGTCTTCTCAAACTAAGGACATTGGGTTTACAATTGCAAGAGACTGTTGGGACCCCAGATCATGAAGGTGAAGGAAGGAACGGGTATGTTGATCGAGTGGTTTCGAGAAAGACTGTTTGAAGCCATGCTTGTAGTGCGGTGGAAGGGGCATGGAAGAGGTGGTTGTGTTGCAGCTTTGTCCATCTTGAGGCGGACATGGCAGCCTATCAGATCCTGAAACCCTTGTTCTTGACGGACCTGCCTTTGCCATGGGAGGCTCAAGAGATCCCAAGAGGGCTCTTACAAAAGTACCCTGGAGCTGAGTTGAATGAATCAATCTTTTGTCAGCACCCGTCCCCTCAAAGAACTTGAACGCTCTTGTTGTTCCGCAAGTCCAGTTACTCGAGAGTGTCACCAGCTGTCCTTGGCTTGAACAAGTTGGTTCCGATTGGGAGATTGGCCACTTAAGAGACAATTCCCTGCAGGTGCGCCGCCGTGAACATGGACGGTATGACTTCTACCATGCGGCTGTACGGGAGGCCCTTCTCAGTGACTTTGTCAAGCTGTCAAGAAAGTTATGTTTTGTTGTAGAACGTTCTGATGCGGCGGTGACCTTGGAACTGTACATGTGGAAAGGCAAGAAGGCCAATCTAATCATTACGTTGACACCCATGCATACGTTCATGTTGACATTCAGCAGCGGCTGTCAGTATCGTCAAGAGCATCCAATGCTGGGCTTCTTCAAAGATGTCTTGGAGTTTCTCCGCACCAATGTCGTCAAGACATGTTTGAAACGCACATAGCGACCCATGGACCATGCACATGGATGCAATGCAAAAAGGAAAAAGGGAAGGCAAAGGGCCCTTATCTTCCTTTGTTCGATGTTTGTCTTTTTACAATCCTCAAGAACGGGCAGTTTGAAGTCTTTTGACATTTACCAGTTTGGTGGGTCATTCGCCATCTTCCACCGAGCGTTTGAAGTCGCTTCGCCAGGCAAAGACAGGTATCCCCATGGACGAGCTTTTAGAGGCCCAGGCTGGGATGTTGTTACGCATGTGAACCAACCTAATAGCGATGGCCTCCAACCAGCTTCTTGCTCCTGGTAGCGATGCCCTTTGTTACTAGTAGCTTCTTGTTCCTAGTAGTAAGGCCAGGAGTGCACCTAGTAGCGTCCCTGCTCCTACTAGCGATGGCCCCCAACCTACTAGGATTCTTGTCAAAATGTGTGACTGGAAAGTAATGGAAAGTCTATGCCCATAGTTCTTAGCAGTTGCTCATGTGTTCGTTCGCCAGGTGTTTAAGGAGGCAAGCCCTGAAGTTGTGCGTTACCGCCTGGGCATTTGGGAAGGCCCAGTAGAGGCCAGGAAACTGTTAAACTGTTGAACGCTTCTTTGTTTTCTTCGTCATCTTCTTCATCATCTCCTTTTTCTCCTTTCAATAAGATCATGTTGGTCTTGGCAGGACTCTTCAGGCAGCCTGGTCTTTGTGCGCCAATGGCTTGGTCGTGATGATGCGACCATCTCAGTGGAATCACCAGAGATACAGGATGATTCAGGGAACCTCAAATATGCACTGACTTTGTCAACTTTGTTGAGGCTTGTGTCAAAACTGACCAGCGCTATGACGATCCGCGTTTCGAGGCTTTGCCGCCATGCCTATGAATACACTAGCCTTGTTTTTACACTTGTGTTCAGGATTTGGAAAGACAGCTTTTGTTGATGCAGGCTGCGGCAAACATCTCCTTCCGGCTAGGTGGTTGGATGCACCTTTGGAGGGGCTTTGTTGGCCAGGACAAGCACAGAGTTTCTTCAAAGAGAGATAGCACGGATTTTGAATTGGAGCACAGTGTCAGTCTCACGCAAACCTGGGACACACAAGAATTAGACCCAGAAGTAGTTCTTCTTGAAGGCTCCAGATTGACAACCCTTCGCCGCAGAATCCTGCAAGACACTTGTGTCATTTCACACGATTGTTTTTCTCCCAAAAACTTCTCCTTTGGTGGACTGTGAAAGTCAGGAACCATTTCCTTTTCTAGAGGGCCGCTTGGGCGCGCTTTGCCAACAGCTTGGCGAGTCTGTGGCAAGCCCAGGGAAGCAAAGACCAAGAGCGAAATACACGTGCTTTCCGCATCGAAAAGCCAACACTACTCACTACTCCAGCTATTTCTTATCAATTTGCACTTGTACACTGTATTTACATCTATAGACTGGGCTAACCCCCTGGTTCCGCAGACCCCTTTTTCATGCCTTCACTTGAGCCAATTGCCTTTGTTCGAGGGGAGTGTTGTTTAAAAGCCTCCAGCAACCCCGCCAGCCTCTCACTAGCCGAGAGGCGGGGTTGGCGGGAGGCCGCAGTCCTATGACTGCTTGTCTGAAAGATTAAGCCATGCACGTCTCAATATTTATATGGTGAAACTGCGACAAGTCTATCTTGTCGAAACTGGGGACAAAACGATATCAGTTCTGGGGCATGATTGCTGGTTGAAGCCTAACAGCTGAGCCCAGCGTACCAAGAAGGGTGCCAGATGGCAGTTTCGATACCCACTGAAAGAGGTACGTATGGGCATGCTTCCCTGGTTCACGTCCGGGTGTGCCATCTGCACTTTCATGATGGCTTGAAGTGAAGGAGGAGGCGCAGTGATCAATTCTGTTGGTGTGGGTGGTGCTGCAAGACATATTTATTATATATATATATATATATGTATATACATATGTATTTATTAGGCGCGTGGCTAAACAAGGCGGTGGGATGAGGTGGCGGGGGTATATTAAGTGAGTAGGTGAGTAACCCAGAGCCCTGAAAAAAAAACTTTAGCACGATTTTTCTTCCAAGTCTTCTTATGGCAGCACACAGCCTCCAGCAGAATAGCTGGGCCCAAAAGCGTGTCAAGGTTGAAATCTCCACTATCCCAAACATCGCCCACCTAGGCATAGGATAGGCCAGGGTCGGCGGACAAAAAATAGTTTTGTTTGCATTGAAAAATGTGCCGTTGTTCTTGTCCCTGTGCCTTTGTTCAGGTCGTGACCGCTCCAGGCATGGCAACTACCCAGATGATTGCTCGGTGGCTCAAACTCATGCAGTGCCGCACGATGTGGTCAACACAAACCGAACTGGTTCAGTCGTGCTGGCAAGGCCCACATGGAACAACTTTTGCCGCGACTGGTGGTTGCCTCAATGATTTTTCGGGATTGTTCAGGTACAGTAGTTGGTCGTAGTATGTGTTGCTGTCTTGATTCAGGAGCCACCTGAGCCACCGCCAGAGCCAGAGAAGTGGGTGATGACATCGGAGGAGGAGGCTCGCAGTATCTCTTTCCGTTTGTGAGAAAAGTATCCAGAAATGCAGAGATGGATAAAGATGGTGCCAGCGTTTTGGTGTGGTTCATCCATTCTTGGGAAAGGTCCACAGAACTTTGTATTGGATTAGATGATGCAGCTGTATGCTGTGAAGGCCATGCAGCCACTAGTCACCGACATTCTGGCAAAGGCCTGCAGCGTGAGACAGGGGTCAAATGGTAAAGGTGCCAAGAATTCGTGGAACTGAAATACAGTCATTAGTCTGCCGATCGGAACATCATTGCCGATGAACGTGTGATACTGACATGTACGCCTTGGGTCAGGCGTACAGTTCCGCTATCTCTGAAGCAGCGCGAAGGGAGAAGCAGGCG